TTGCAGGGAAGCAGACTCAGTGCTGATGTGTTAATAGCTTTCAGGATATGAGAGAAACAGTTTAGAGGCTTTGAAGATGTTTAACCTACTTAGCTCACCTACAAAAAGGATAATCTGATTGCCAGCTTCAAGAGGATTGTAAGCAACCCTAAGCAGTCTCCTGCAAAACTTGCTTCAGAGAGATCATTTCTGATCAGAGCAATCTAACTCACCAAGTCTGTGATTTAGCACTTTATTGTGGCTCAAAACTGAGCCAAACTGATTGTCCCCATGCACTGTGCTTTGGTTCATTTGATAGAGCTCTCTTTGGGGAATAAGACAGGAAGGTGTGCTTCCACCATGACATTCAATCTGTGTGTTCAGACAAACGCTATTCCAATGTTAACCCCTGAAATGTGCATTGAGGCTGAGCATTCGACAGCTACACAACATTTCCTTTATGAAAGGCCTTCATTTGGGTGAGTCTGCTTGCACACAGACACGAGCATGTGCAAAGCCAGCAGCACCAGCACACACCTTCCTCTCTGGTCTCTCTTAGACAGCTTGTACTAAATATACAGTCCTAAAAGGCACACTAATTTGCCTTTGACATCACCAAGAGATTGAGGTCTTCTAGATCTTGGCAAAGTTAAAAAACAAAGAAAGGTTTATTCTGGCAGGAAACTCCCTGTGGAGAGAGGTATTCATCAGTTCTACTGTGTTCTTAGCAAAGCACTATTCTTTAACTGAATTAGAAAACAAACCATTGTTTCCTCCTCCTCCATCTTCTTTATGGGCAGATTTAAACCTCATATATAACCTGTGATAGAAAAGAGATCAATTCACTTTACTCCTATTCCATCTTTCCATATATAGCAGAGTTCTCTAGCATTAAAGACTTGTTGTAATTAACCTCTAAATAGTAAACAAAGCAAATATGGACAAGGTCAGGTGAAAAATCAAGATATTGAAAGTGACTAAAACATAGCTCTAAGTACAGCTACAAGAGCATTATGCATTGAATAAAAAAACACTTCCTGAGTTTCATGCTCGCAGTGGATGCAGTGGCAGTCTCTGTCTTCCAAAGGAAGTAATCAGACACACCTTATATTGCTAAATTAGTCAGTGCAGCCACAGTTACAGAAAAGCAAGTGATAAAATTGAGACGTGATGTAAACAGCTGAAGCTCATGATAATGGGTTAGCTAGTTACAACAGGGAGATAAATATTATATTAGCAAACAGGTCAGAAAATAGGTGTAATTTTCCTCACCTTAATCTCCAAAGCCTGTTTATTACATAAAAATATGACAGCAGTTCTGAGAAAATGGAATAGAATAAAATAATCAAATAGCATAGGACATAGATTGCTACATTTAATCATTCCTAACTATAATAAATAACAAGGAAAATAAGGATTCTTTTTAAAGGGTAGGAAAAGTTTGGGGTTTTTTTTTAGAGAAACTGAAAGACTAGCATAATATTAACAAAATGAGAAGTGTCTCTGAAAGAAGAGTTGACAAACTAAAAAGCTTCATTATGTGCTTATCCTGCACTTTCAGAAAGGATCCTTATCTCATAGAACATGAAGTGAGAACTGCTCACAGAACAACTATCTGAACTTCTGACTCCTCATTACCTATAATCAGCTAGGACAAATAAGTTATTGTTAAATCAAGAACTGAAGCAATATGATTCTTATTAAAATACAGCCTTTTTATCCACACAGATACATTTCTCCAATTGAAAGAAATTTTGAAAATGTATGATTCTTTTAAGAAAATAGTCAAGGCTCAGTCATGTGGAAAACTGAATTTAATCTAAGAGCCTGCAGAGCAGAACTTTCATTTGTATCAGCCTCAAATTTATTTCCTCTTTAGTATTCCTTGTTTGAATTAATACGGAATCTTCCACTTAATTTTTAAACCACATTTTCAAAGTTCTGTGTGTGGGGGGCTCTACAAATAAATCTTGAATTTTGTAGCCTAGCAAAAAGCTTTATTTGCAAATTTTTACATACTTCAGACAACTAATGCTTAGGAAGGCTATCTTAGCTAGGCACCTTGATTGTGATGATTAAAATATTAACTCATGCATTTTTAGAACATTGTGCTTGAAGAGAGGGTTTGGGTGTTTGTTGTAGAGACATTTTCAGGAATGGCTTCGGTTTTGCCATTCTTCCTGTCCAAGTGTGTGTGTCACCATCAGGAGACAGACTAAGCTGTAACACCACCCACAGACAAACGATTGTCTCTTATCTCCCCCCCCCACCAAAATGAGACGGTGCAGTTTGATTTGTTGCCAAACATACGAGAGGTTTGAGTAACTAAGATACCTCAGGGAGTAAAGCCAGCTGAGGAAAAAACCTGGATCCACCTGTCACCTGCCCATTATAACTGTTACCACTCTTTAGAGAAGGTTAAACACAGAGACTGGCAGTACCTCACACCCTTTTTGTTTTATTTCTGGCTAACAGAAGATCTCTAACCAGTCACCCATTTGAAAAATGGTTTTGTATCTTTTCTGCTCGCATCCTCATTAGAGCAGTCATCCATGACTTTGTCACAATTCAACATATTTTACTCATGACTCTCCTCTGAGGCTATCCTGAGGCCTGAAGCTAATGCTCCTGATGGTGGCTGGCATCCAGGTTAGCCCCACTTAGTACGTCTGCTTTCTGTGTGCTCAAACACTGCACTGAAACGGCTTGACTTTTTTTTTTTTTAATTCAAGCAATCCTTTTTAACGTTGCACCTTCCAACGCAGTGGAATCGTCGCTCCTCACCTGCCGTGGGCCAGGTCGGGCACGCCCCGGGAGGGACTCGCTCCCCCTGCTGGCCCATGGCAGCGAAATTCCCCTGGGATCGAGGGAGATAATCCTCGGCGAGGCGGGACGGAGTGGCTGCTTACGGGGCTTTAATTTTTGCCGCGGATTACGATTGAGACATTGAAATCGAACTATTATCTGCTGTAAAAAACCTACAGGTGTTTCGCTGCCTCCCACAAATTCCAACAAAATTTTAACATGCAAGAAATTTTCAATTAATTTTTAAAACGCTAAATAGTTTCCCCAAAGAAACTAAAGGTTCATCGGCAACCTCGGGCTCATACCACAAAAGTTACAGTGTAACTTGCCCTGTGACTGCTGTCAAATACTCTGCTCCCCCTCCACCATGGTCAATCTCCCAGAGATAGCAGAAATCACATCTCTGCCAGAGAAAGCAAGGTATGCAAAAAGCAACTGCACTTCAATGGTTGTTAGACTGACAAGTCACAAATACAGCTTTGCAACATCCCAGTTGTGTGGCTGGAAGATACTGATACACTGTTTAGCTCAAGTCTGAGGGTAACCAAGTCATAATATATAGATCTTTAAGAAAGAATAAGCAAAAAAGTAAAAATACCCACAACAACCTCTTCATTCATACACAGGTAAGTGGTCTACTATAGGATATTTTTTCTTGTATGGATTACAAAAACCATACATACTGATGTAGTGTCTCCTAAAGTAAAGTGATCCTATTTTCATGGTTTAAACCCATCATTTGACTGGTAAGTGCTGGAAATTATAATGTATCATTTCATTAGCATTTAAAAAGGAAAAGCTGTTGCTGTTTCAGTGATGGAACAGGTCAAGGTTTTCAAAAGCATGGTACGCACACGAGAGAACAAATAAAATACCACAAAGAGCATAACTTGCATGCAATAATCATTTTTTTTAATCACAGAGATATTAAGAATCCACCACTACAAAAAAGCAGAAAGAAAACCTAATACTGACAATACCTATGCCATAGATCTTCCTTTTCTGGCCAGAGAAATGCTCACTCACCTCTGGGCATCCTAAGCAAAAGAGCTGTGTCAAGTGGTGGCAGCAAACTGAACAATAGCCACTAACTGCAAATTGACTTTTAGAATGGATTACATTAGACTATATTTAATTTACACATGATTATTTTGACTAAACAGCAGTATTTTGGTTAAGTTACCTTTGGAAGGGAATTGTTCATACTCTAATTTAGTTCAGTTTAATTCTGCAGGTTTCTCTTCTCATAAAGTTCTAATGTGGTTTAACTATTTCAGTTTTGTTAATTCAAGTCAATACCCCCAAGTATGACTTCACCAAAGGAGTGAAAAGGATGAAGTCTCCTTTTCATACTCTTGTTTTGTGTAAAGCTCTTTCTTGGTGAAATTTTATAGACTGTATACATTCTTTGTTGTGGAATATTTCCTTGGGTAGTAGTTATAATAAATTCATGTCTGATCACTATTGACTCTTTTTACAGATGTTTAAAGGAAAAAAATGGAAATTTGCTGGTTTAATTATTCAAGGAGATTTTTTTTCCTTCCCATGACATATGAAGAGCTGGAATAACCATATATTCCATGACCACAATTTGAGGAAAGAGAGCAATGTAACCATCCATGTATTTATTATGTAATTCTGAGCCTAGGAAAGAGCAAGGACTTGACTCAAATTGAAAAAAAAATTGAAAATCAAAAGTGCTTTGAAGGAAGTACATTCCTCAAATTATCTCCACACATAAATAACTTAATTCACATCAGAAATTCCAGTGAACTGTAATCCTCATGTCAGAATGTCTTGCATGGCAAGGACTTCAGATGCTGCAGATTAAGGAATACCCTGGAAAAACCTACTTGTCTTCCACTCATCTGGAACTATCATTCACACCCATGTAATCCTCTTGATCAGTGAGCACATAACAAGTATGGGTTCCAAAACAATTTACTTTATAATACTAGAATTATAAAAAGTCAGACTGTTTTTTTCTCCTCCTCAAAGGTTTGTTTAGAGTTCAAGAGAAGTCCCTTTGTTTGCTTTGTTTCATAAATTTATTCCAGATTTTATAGGAATGTAATTTTTAAAGTCAGGAACTTGTTAAATAACCTCCTAATTCTAATCCAAAATTTATTTTGTTGTCTAACAGTTTGACATTTTAGACATTTTAGTAATTTAACTTTACCTGATGCGATTTTCAAGCTCACATTTGCAGTCTGTATTACATCTGAAGTATTTCCAAAGTAGTCAGGAATTCCCAACAGACCATTCTCTCCAGGTGAATAGTATGCAGCAAATCCTAGCAGCAGGCTTGGAAAAATCAGCAGCGTGATTTATGTAATACCTATAAATCAAAAAGATGAACAGCTGAGATTAATATTTTCATTGTGTTACTACCAGCCAAAATGTTTTACCTCAGCAGTGGTTTCTTGTTCTGGATGAGAATGATCATAATGCTTACTTTCTTAAGCTGCTTAGTGTTCAAGCAACTGTAATTTGCAATTGGATAAGCCTTTTTACCACTTTTATGGTCTATTTCATGGTTTATGATCCATGGATGTAACTTGTTCTATGTAGGATCTTTTTTCCTTTTCTCTCGTGTCCCTTTAGATCCTGCAGTAAGCAAAGGCCCAATTTCACCACAACTCTTAGGGATCTGTTAAATGCCATACCATACACCCCCACTAACTATCTAATATCTGACTGCTGTGATTGAATTGTCACACTTAGTCTCAAGAACCACAGGGCTGAGATGAGCAGCAGGTAATTCACACTTTGGAGCTTGGAAAATCTCAAGGCAAAGCTTTAACAATTTAGACACAGTCCCTATAGAGTAATTAGACTGAAACAATGTTTAGTACATTGATTTATTAATAATGAATGTTTTAGGCCTTACCAGGTCAAGGAACTTTCCATCAGCATAACTTCACCTGATAAACTACTAACAGGCTGCATTCCTTCCTGTCTTGATTAGTGGTAGTTTAATCTTCATACTATACTGGTTAGAACTTCTAAAAATTTTTTAATGCAGTCCTACCATACAGGTCACATCAGTTACCACAGTGTGTGTGGGGGCATCTGTACAAGACTGGTCAACTGCACTACTGACGATTGCCATGACTAATGTTGCTGAAAAAAAGGAAACAGAATCAGAAAATCCTTACTGGTAAAGGACCCACAAAATCACTGAGTGCAGCTCCCAGTCCTACACAGGACAGCCCCAAGAATCCCACCATGTGCCTGAGAGCCTTGTCCAAACATTCCTTGAGTTCTGTCAGGCTTGGTGCTGTGATCACTTCCTTGAAGAGTCTCTTCAGTGCCCAGGCACTCTCTGGTGAAGAATCTTTTCCTTATATCCAACCTAAACTTCCTTGTGAAGTTGAACACAACTTCAGCCATTCCCTCGAGTGCTGTCACTGATCACCAAAGCAGAGATCAATCTCTACCCCTCCACTGGCCCTCATGACTAAGCTCCAAGACCACAATGAAGTCTGACTTCAGTCTCCTCCAGGCTGAACAAGCCAAGTGACCTCAGGTACTACTTAAATGGCTTCCCCTCCAGACCCTTCACCATGTTCGTCAGGACACTACCAGAGCACAATTATGTCCAGAGCCAGAGGGGAAAACCCAATTCGTCTCATTTGAAAGGGCACTGAGGAGAGCTTCAATTCGGCCGTTCCGGGGGCAGGGGGTGTGTGCCACCTGCCCGGCCCAGGCCATGGTGTCATTTCTGGGCCCAGGGAAGGTGTCCCCATCTGCACCTGCCGCCGGTCAGACTGGCCACGGCCGTCGTTTAGAGGAACGACAGCACAGGGCCCCTTGGGCCTCGTGTTCATTCAGGGGCTTTTATTGGGCAAAAGAGTTTTCATTTATTGCGTTACTACATGAGAAACCCCAGCCACCACACAGCAAGACCCGCCGCTCTCGCACGCCCCTCTCGGCTGAGCGCGGCCCCGCCCCCTCACCACCCTCAGGGCAGCGGGGCGCGCGCACGGCGCGAGGCGCACGCGCAGCGCCCCCTCAGCCTGGAGTGACGTCACTGAGCGGAAGGAATCCCGTGAGCTGCTCACGTCAGGCAGTTTCCGGGAGAACCAACTGGAGCCTTAAAGGGCCGCAGCGTCCCGCTGCCCAGAGCGGCGGCTCCGGGTGGTAGCGGCCTCAGGGTTGGTTGTACCGGTGTCTCTACAACTGGAAACACGGCTCTGCCCGCACAGGTCACGGAGCAGCCGGGGCGCGCTCCTACCCGCTGAAGGGGAAGGAGCGCGGGGGCGGGGCCGCAGGCAGCCAACCAATCAGCAGCTAAGAGCTTCCCAGCCGCCCCCAATCAGAAGCACCGTTTCCCAAAATAATCGTGGCGAGCCAATGGGAAGCCCGCGCTGCTCGCGCTCGGCTCCGGCCGCCCCCAGGCTGTGCCCGCGGCCTCCCGGCAGCAGGGGGCGCGCGGGGGCGGCGGCGCTGCGCGGGCGGCGCGGAGGAGGCGCTGCCGCCGCTCTCGGTGTCGTTATCGCCGTCGCCGCTGTCGCGCCCGTCCCGCCGGCCCCGCCTCCCGCTGCGCTCCCGCGGCCTCACAGCAGGTACGGGCGGGGGGAGGGACGGACACACCGCATGCCGGTGTCCCCGCGGCACCCTCCGCCCGCTCAAGGAGTGCCCAGACACGGCAGGCCCCGTTGCCGTTCCGCTCGGCTCCGGGCGCGGGGAGCCGGTCCCGCCCGTCCCTTCCCACGCCGCGGGGCCGCCGCTCCCCGCCGAGGTGGAGCCGCGGGGCCGCCGCGCCCCTCCCGCGGGCGGTCGTGTGTCCTCCCGGCCGTGGCCGCTGTCGGTCCCGCCGGGGCCGCGGCCGGGCCGGGCCCCCCCGGAGGGATCTCCCCGGCGGCCGGAGCCGCTCGGCGCGAACAAAGGCGGCGGGCGGGGGGCGCTGGGGCAGCACCACCGGCGGGTTAGGAGCTCTCCTGTTGCGCCGTGACTGGAACAAACCCCGGAGAGCTCTGACAGTGGCCGAGCCGGGGCCCGTCCTCTGCCCGCGTCCCCTCGGGACGAGTTTTTGGGGCTTGCCGCGCTAACAGGTGCGCGGTGACTTCTGTCGTTCCTCCGTGCGCCCGGGCAGCTCCGGCACGCAGCGCTGGAAGTATTTTGTTAGGGAAAATCAGAACTGTCTTACAGGAAGTGGGAAAGAAACCCCAAACCAACCCCAGAACCAAAACCAGCAACTCAAATATTGTCGATTGTAGCCACCAAAATCGAGTATCAAAGTTTATCTTGGTTTAGATCCTGTTGATAAGTCTGGATTTATTGGTAAGGTGCTCCTCCTTCAGTTAGGTTTTTTGGATCTGTTCTTTACTGAAATATCTGAGAGAACCATAAACCGAAGTCTTCCAACCCTGCTTCTCAGTTTCCTGGGAAAATGAAATAACTTTACAAAGCGCCTTTGTTCTCTCCTGTTTCTTTCATGGATTTAAAAAAAAATGTAGCAGAGCCGTGAAAACAGAAAATAAATATTGAAAACTATCTTATTATTTTGTGGATAGGGAAGAAGTGGGAGGAGATGCAACTAAATACCAAAGGTAAGTGAAGAGTGGGAAATGAATAGGTCTTAAATTACTGCTACGTGTTCTGTTTACTTTTATTCAGAGATTTCATTTTGACTACAGTCAAGCTCGCTTTTTAGAAATAAAAAGTGGAACTGTGTTATGTCTTTGTTAGGTGGTTTTTTGAACTGACATCAGAGCATTCTGTGATTTGGCCAGAAGTACTAGATTAAGCAGAGGAGTTAACTCGGGACTATTAAAATGTGTGTTGTGTAATGTGTTTCCTGTTTCTCTCCCAGCATCTTGCATTTTTGAAATGTCTCATATAACAGCTCAGTGATGCATGAACATGAACATAAAATCTTTTGTGCTTTTGCTGTCTGAGAAACACATTTGTTTTGTACAGATTTTGTATTAAGATTTCTATTTTCCCTTCCTTATTTTGATGCCAGTCCAAGTCTGATGAGCAATTTACAATCTCTGTAAGGCACGCTTTAGTTGGCACTGTAATTTATTATCTGTAATTACACTTTTAATCTGTCGGTTGGTTGGGCAATAAAACGGCTTTGACAAGTCTGCTTTTGGACGAGGCTTATTCTGTGATGGCTTGTGCTCTGTGTCCAGTGGGATCCTTGGCTGGGTTGGAGCTGGGGGTAGTGGAGATGTTGGTGTCGGTGGCATCTCAGTGGATTTGGGTGCAGCTGCCTGTGTGCCGATTCTCATTTGGCCCTGATGAGGCAGAGTTCTGCTTTCCTTTGCCCCTCGGGTGGGATTTACAGTGTGCAGCTTTTGGATCCAAATGCAGGAATGTGTTGTGCTTGTTGCTGCTGTTAGTGGTGCAGGAGGTAGCAGCAGAGATAGGCTTTGCTTCTAGTATTTATATTTAAATAGAAAGGGATTTATATTGCCTGCCTCTTAGTCATATCTTCACTCCTGCTGTTCTGTTTCAGTCTTGCTCTTCTCTTTACAGTATTCCCTTTATTCTAGGGTGTAACTTCTCTGGAGTAGTTTTCCTATATGGAAACATTGGTGAACTGTGTTTTATACCATTGGTGATGGTGTTTTATATACAGGCTTCTGGATTCACAGATTCCGACCGAAGTTTTGACATATGAGGTGTAGATGATGGGTTAATTTCTGCCAGAATTGAGGAGGAGAAGGCTGATGCTAGAATACAGAAGGGGTCTCTTCTTGGTGTGATTTTATTCAGTAATGCAGCTGAAGCACTGAGGCTGGTAGAGATCTATCAACTGCAATAATGATAAAGTTTTTGATGTGCTTTGTACTGTACAGAGACCTAATTTGAGATTCTTGTAACCCAGTAAATGTGTTAATAATGATAAATGGCAGGAGGATATGCTCCTGTAATTTAAAAGAGCACATCTATACGCTATCCTTGCTTTGTAAGCTTTAGTTCTATGGAGAGAGAAGTGCAACAAGGATCACTGACTTCCAGTTGATTTCAGTATTGAGCCTGAAAGGTGCAGAGGATACTTACTTGAAGTCTTTATAATAGCCACAGCCATAAGTATCTATAATAAGCAATAACAGAATTATTTGGTCAGCTGAAGGTCATTAATTCCCAGGGGCAGTAGTTCTGGTCCCCAAATGACGTTATGCATTTTCACAGCATTCTCCATTCATCTCTACAGAAGCAATGTGCAAAACTGTGCAAGAGGAGAACGGATCAGTCCTTCCCAGTTCCCTGTCCCGTGGGACTGAATTTTCAACTGGGGGAGCTTATGTGCATGGCAAACTGTAAATAGTTGCTTTCTAGTCCTGCAGTTTAGAAATGGAAAGGCTCAACTCTCTATAGTTTTACTCCGTGAGACCTTCCTTTTTACAATAGCCAAGGCCTATATTCCACAAAAAAAAAACAAACCCACAAAAAAACCCCTGGCTTGCTACGTGCTGAAAGGAAGGCAAATAACCAGTTAGAGGCATAAATACAAGAGAGAAGTGGAGGTGTTCCTGCCTGCCTGCCCTGGCACAGCCCTGGCATCCTTTGCATCTCCTGTTTGTATGGGTGGACCAGCATCTGTCAGAAAAGGTGTCACTGGCTCCTGGCAGAGTCCTTTCTGTCACTTGGCTTCTGCTTCTGGGAAACAGCATGAGTTAAAGCCTGAGATGAAGATAAAACAGTATAACTTGTTCTTTAAAATGTCTAGGCAGCTTCTTTTATTTTTCTTTACTACATTTAGTAAATTGAGTTTGTATTGGTGGCGTAGCAGCAGTTGTAGAAATACTGCATTTAATGCAACAATTAATTCTGCCTGTGATATTAATTAGTGATACGTAGTGATAGTGATACTGCTTTTTTTTCTTCTGCTCCTGTACTATTTTTTCTTTATTTTAAGTTGTTCCTCTCAGTGAATTACACGAAGAGTGAAACAACAGTATGGGCTTTGCTTGTACTTTTTCAAGCAACAAAGCAACATTTAGACTGCTTAAATATATGAATATACATAAGTTTGTTTTTCTTTAAATTCTTCCCCTGCAAATGGAGAAGGGCTGTTGCTACATAGGCGGGTGTTTAATCTTGGAAAGTGGATGGATGACATTAAAAGGCAAGACATGATTATTATTTGCCTCGTG